GCTTCACGTGCCTTGCCGTGGGTTTTCCCGCGTTCGGCTATGGGTTTCCTTGTGCTTTGAGCTATCGGCACAGCCTCATGCGTCACCCGACACGAGTTCCCGGCGAGTTCCTTGCCATGTCGCCCATACTTTTGGTGTGGGTTTCCCAATGCCTTTGCCTATTTGTTGCACTGTGGGTTTCCTCTTGCACGCTGAATGCACAGGGGACGTAAGAGAGATCTCGCCGGGAAACCGAGGGGGGCGCAAGGGGTTCCCCTATGCATGCCTCGCGTGCATTCACCATTAAGCCCACTCTATTTCTCGTGCTTTTCGCTTTACGTTGTTCAGTGCGTTCCTCTATACACAACCAACGCGTTCCCCTTCGGTTTCCTGGTGGAGTCTCTCCTACGTTCCCTTGTGCTTTTAGCGTGGGTTCCCTCCGTGCATTCATTGTGCGAATCGTGCAATCAATCTCTAATTAATTGTAAGCTTTGATTCGTAGGCTAATAAGATTATCAGAAAAGGTTTATTTCACGAAATATGACGGCCGCGTGAATCAGTCTTCACAAATGTATTTACTTTCACGCATTACCGTCTTAATAAAGCCTAAAAATGTAAAGATCTGAAGTGAAACTGATATTTTCAAAGTGATACAATAGGTTTACACCAGAGATCATGATCTGTTTTCAATGAGAATTACAATCCTAGTCGTGAAAATATGCAGCGACGTTTTTGTCAGCGATTGGTTCTAGTTTGTAATCAATATTCATGACTACTTGTGGAATTTGGGTCAAACAAAACACTTGGTCATGATGTGAAGACGTTGGATCTGGCCATGTTCTTCTTTCGAAAAAGATAAAGCAGGAAGATATCAAAACATTAAGATATTAATGGTGAGTTTATGTATTAATCTTTGCTCTTCACTGAAACGGAACAATTTCTATCTCCCTAAAGTTTAGTTACACCCTTCGATCGCAATTTTCGTTGCCGCGCTGCACAGAGCTTCGGTCATAAACCAGATAGTCGTATGTGTAGTTGTGCAAACATCGAGAGGAAACGTTTCAGTGAGGGTTAAGAAATAATTTTGCGCACGTTTGTAAGATACTTGCACTGAATTTGTTTGATATTTCCTGTTCTTCTGTTGCTCTCGGAAAGTTGAAAACCGTTACCACGTGCAGCCGGGTCAGCACGAGCTTTGGTCGCTGCTTGCCCTGGTAGTAATAGTGTATCTTGGAAATACATTTGTCTAGAGAGAAAGCTCATGTTTTTCTTTATTTTCTTCTTTTCAAGGAGAGGAAATGGCCTGAAGGCGAAGAGGAAAGTCATTGGTATGACCCGGCGAACGAAAGAAGAGATTGAAATTTTCGAGGAGTTAATGATTATTCAACATTGGAGATGACAACGAGATAAGAATTTTAATTTCATAACTTTGGATCAAAATGGTGGCAAGATATTTGAAGCTTACGTCGTGGGGATTAGTTGTCGAGGTTTTCTTTCGAGTAGAAAAAGTCGTGGTATTTATTTGTTTCGAACGACTGATGTATATTTTTTCAATAGTTAATGTTCGGCCGTAATTAACCTGAGATCTCGATTCTGGAGCCACCATTTTGGTCGAAATGATTACGGAAATATTTTAAGTACATCAACAACGTTGAGTTTTTACGGTGGCACTGTATTTGGCAACACCATCTAAATTTTTGTGATCAAAATGTGTACGTTTTTTCTCGAAATCGACGAAGTAATGTAACATTTGGTTTTTTTTAGGCAAAAGGAGATTTAAATGGCCTGTACGACTAGGAAAAAAAATACATTTGACGACAACGAAATTCACTCTACAATAAATAAATTGTCTTGCTAGAAGTAAATTGTCACGTAATGTTTTACTCTCTTCAGATCGACTAAAACCTCAAAGTTATATTCAGTGTTTTTTCAAGTAAAAGATTATCAAAGCCGCCTGCCCGTAATGTGAAACATATACATTTTGGAACAAACGAAATTATTTTGTAACAAATTTACGTACTCTTGCTACCTTTAAAATTATGTTCAAACATTTGAATTTTCATCGAATAAAACCTCAAACTCCTAATGTGAAAAAGCAGAAAATGCCAGGACAATTGGAATGAACATTACTCTTGAAATAGTACGGATGGTCGTCTGAATTAGTCACATGAACACAATTGTATTATAAAAATTATTTGCAAAAACACAAATATCTAGAGTCTGGCCGACAGCCATCCGAGGTATTCTGAAAATCAATCGAAGACTTTCGAGAATTTCCCAACGGTAAAGAAAGTTTTGGGACTACTTCAAGGAATTCGAAAGCTAGAGGGTGATTTCTCAGATTACAAACT